GGAAGTGGCGCTGTGGCTCAAGTGGTAGAGCGCTAGCCTTGAGCTGAAGAGCTGAGGGACAGTGCCCAGGCCCAGAGTTCAGGCCCCATGACCAGACCCCCCCCCCCAAAAAAAAGTATCATGAGCCAGGCATCAGTGGCTCATGCCTGTAATCCTAGATACTCAGGAGGCTGAGATCTGAGGATCGCAGTTCAAAGCCAGCTTGGGTAAGAGACTCATTTGTAATAAACTACTCAGAAAACTGAAAGTGGCGCTGTGGCTCAAGTGATACAGCGCTTGCCTTGAGCTGAAGAGCTGAAGGATAGTGCCTAGGCCCAGAGTTCAAGCCCTATGACTGACAAAAAAAAAAAAAGTATTGTGGACTTTGCTGCCCAGGCTGGCTTCACACCACAATCCTCAGCCTCCTGAGTAGTTAGGATTATAGGTATGAGCCACCATTGATCAGCTATGCAGTTTTCATTTTTTATTTACGTATTTATTTCCACTAAATATAGGCCATACAAGAACTAATGAAAATCCATGGACAAGATCCTGTTTCATTTCAAGATGTCAAGGTACCTTTTACTTAATATAACATCAGATAATATTGCTATAATAATACTAAGTATTTGTGTTAAATATATTTTATAAAAGCAGCTTATGGCCAGACACCAGTGACTCACGTCTGTAACCCTAGCTACTCAGGTGGATAAGAACTGAGGATAACAGTTTGAAGCTAGCCCAGGCAGGAAAGTCAGTGAGTCTTTCCAATTAACTAACAAAAGTGAGAAGAGGAGCTATGGCTCAAGTGGTAAGAGTGCTAATCGCTAGCAAAAAAAGCTCAGGCCCTGAGTTCAAGCCCCAGTACCAGCACAAAACAAAAAACAACAGCTACTCAGTGGCTGGGTACTTGTATAGCATCTGTATGACCCTGAGTTAAATCCCTGGCATGGGGAGGGTGGGGGATGTTGACACACAATTCAACACAACAAAAACACCAAGATATTGTTTTGCCACCATTAAAAAGTAACAAAAGTGAGTTTTAATATGAATTCAAAGAATACTACAGTTAGATTGCCACTAATTTAGCGTGGATTAAATTTTGAATTTTGGTTTATCTACATAATGAAGGATAGTTATCATATAGTAAAAGTATGCCAAGAAAATGCTGTTGTTATAAAAATTATAAACTGCCTTGAGTTTTAGATCACCATATAAGTTCATTCGATCAGATTTCATTCTATTTTTTTTTCTCTTGGAGGATGAAATCTTTGACATGGTAAAACCAAAGGATCCTTTGAAAATCTCTCTTCAAGATTTAATTAACAGTAATCAAGGAGACACAGTCACTACCATTCTAATTGATCTGAATGGTTTCTGGACTTACGAGAACAGAGAAGCCCTTGTTGCAAATGACAATGAAAACTCCGCAGACCTTGATGATACATGACCTCCAAAAGACTAGACTGTCTTCATTAAGATGTGTGAACACTTCATGCAGAATCTTTGAAGCGGAATCCTTGGATATGATCTAAATAAAATACTTGATATATCTACAGAACAGTTGTTTTAAGTTGCTCTAACTTGTTTTAAGTTGCTATAACTTAGGTTTCACAGTTTGGAAGTAATAGGATAAAATTCTGCTTTTTAAAAGGTGGTGAGTTCTGGTACCATTTAGCTCAAAATGATGACTATGATTTGCTGCTAAAATAGAAAGTACTCCATTTAAATCACTATAATCTTTAGAGATTATAAAGTTTTCATTTAATATTTCTGACATTTATTCAGAATTAGAACAGTTGAGGGATGACTTAAATCATTTTATTTATTTTTCTTTTTTTTGCAAGTCCTGGGGCTTGAACTCAGGGCCTGGCTCTGTCCCTGAGCTTCTCTGTGCTCAAAGTTAGTGCTCTACCACTTGAGCCATGGCGCCACTTCCATCTTTTTCTGTTTATGTGGTACTGAGGAATCAACCCTACGGCTTCATGTATGCTAGGCAAGCAGTCTACCACTAGGCCACATTCCCAGCTCTGACTTAATTAATGTAATCACTTACACTTCAATCTTCTAGAACATTGTGTATAATCAAAGATGTTACACTTTTCCATTAAAGTAGCCATTTTGTTTTAAGTATTTAAAAAAATCTTTCTTTTACTAGGTTGTTTTCATAAAAAGTATTCCAACTAATAGCTCTCATTAAAATAAAAACTGGTAAAAAAAAATTTGTCTAGCTTTATTAACCATTACCAGGGTTAGGTTTATAAAACTATTTTTGTTAAGAATTTTTGTTAGAGTTGTTAATTCAGTGTAAACTTTTTTACTACACACTAATTAATGTTAGTTTGGATTTTTGAGACAGGATTTTACTATCTAGCCCAGAGTGATCTCAAACTTCTGATCTTACCTCAGCCTCCCAAGTGCTAAAATTATAAATTGGCCCAACACTCAGCTTATTTTAAGTTTTTATGAGATGAAAAGAAAATAGATTATTATGAACTGTGATCCAGAGAGAACAGTAATTCTTCAAAAAAATTAAGAAGTAGGAAATAGTAAAAGAGGCTTAAAATGAAACAAATCATTTAATGCACTTATGAGAAATTTTAGTTGGTATAAATAAAAATCATAAAAGTTTAAGGCACAATGAATAAATACTATATAAAGCAGCCACAACTGGACAAGCAAAGTAAAATTCAAGAAGCATAAAAGCTTAAATCATCATTTTCTCTTTCTGTTATAATCAGGAAGGTTTCTAGTTAAGCTATTTTATGTACTTGCACTTCTTTTTTCTTTTTTTTTTTTTGGGTCTGGTCATGGGGCCTGAACTCTGGGCCTGGGCACTGTCCCTCAGCTCTTCAGCTCAAGGCTAGCGCTCTACCACTTGAGCCACAGCGCCACTTCTGGTTTTCTGGTGGTTTATTGGAGATAAGGAGTCTCACGGTCTCTCCTGCCCAGGCTGGCTTTGAACCTCGATCCTCAGATCTCAGCCTCCTGAGTAGCTAGGATTACAGGCGTGAGCCACCAGCGCCCAGTTAAGTCTGTGAGACTCTTATCTCCAATTAACCACCCCAAACCAGGAGTGGAGCTGTAGCTCAAAATGGTAGATCACTAGCCTTGAGTACAAAACCTCAGGGACCATGTCCAAGCCCTGAGGTTCAAGGCCTATGACTAACCAAAAAAAAAAAAAAAGCTTTTAACAAAGACTATATTTGTTTAGATTAAGCCTAATTTAAGTAAGGTGAGCAATATTATGTAGATTATATAATTATACTTCAGTTATAAGGTATCTTTCTATTTAGTTTACTAGATTGGTTCCTTCATTTAGTGGTATACTAGTTTATTCTCCCATAAGTATTTAGTATATAGATAATTATGAGAAGTATACAAAGTCTCTATCCCCAAGAAGTTTACTAGTAGGAACGTTTAAGACATGTTTATATGATGTACAAGAGTGATAAGACAAAGATTTAGAAACTTAGTTCTAGAGCTCCTCATGGAAGAGGTAGCATTTATACTGGACTCTGTGGTACTAAAGTAGTCGGTACAGGGAGACTATCTTCTTAAGACGCATCTGGAGTTTGCCTGAGAAGACAAGGGATTATTACAAGGCTATTAGAATAGTACAAATGAGGTAATAAGGTTCTAAAACAGTTTTAGAATATTAAAAATCATTTGTTCATAAAACATGTTTAAAAATCACACAACAAATTTAAGGTAATTTTTCCAGACTCATCTGCAGCATTACCCTCCAGTGATTAAGTGCTATTCTTACTATTTACTCAATAGCTAATCTTCACATCTTTTTTTTTTTTTTTTCTGTCGGTCCTGGGGCCTGAACTCTGGGCCTAGGCACTGTCCCTCAGCTCTTCAGCTCAAGTCTAGCGCTCTAGCACTTGAGCCACAGCGCCACTTCTGGCTTTTTTCTGCTTATGTGGTGCTGAGGAATCGAATCCAGGGGCTCATGCATGCAAGGCAAGCGCTCTACCACTGAGCCACCTTCCCAGCCCTAATCTTCCCATCTCTATATTCTACTTTACCTAAATCTCTGTGCTTAGTTTACTTGGAGAATAATAGATTCTGATATTGATTATGTGTTCATCAATATATACTAGGCACTATTCTAAGCATTTATTATCTCAATCCTTAGAGCAATCCTAAGCATAGATATTGCAATTCTCATATGAATAAGAAATTGTGCTTTAGAGGCTACATTTTGCTACAAAGGTAGAAGTAGCAAAACCAGACTTTGAATTGAAGCCTTTTAAATTCAAATTGTTTTGGGGAGGAAGAGGTTCTGGGGTTAAAACTTAAGGCCTTGTACTTGCTTATGCATTGCTTTACCACTTGAGCCACACACACTCCCAAACCTTTAGGTTTTTATCTGCATTTCTGTCCAGGGTTGGCACTGGACTACAATTTTCCTAACTGTGCCTTCGACATAGCTGAAAACACAGGCACACCACCACAATTGGCTTGTTGCTTGGGATGAGATTTTGCTGATTTTACTCAGTCTGGGCTGGATCTACATTCCTATTTAATCTTGCTTCCCAATTAGCTGGGTAAGTGACTGCACCTGGCCCAAAAGCCTCCTGATTCTTTTTTTTTTTTTTTTTGTCGGTTGTGGGGCTTGAACTCTGGGCCTGGGCACTGTCCCTCAGCACTTCAGCTCAAGGCTAGCGCTCTACCACTTGAACTACAGCGCCACTTCCGGCTTTTTTTCTTTTTGCTTATGTGGTGCTGGGGAATCGAACCCAGGGCCTCATGCATGCAAGGCAAGCGCTCTTCCACTGAGCCACCTTCCCAGCCCCTAAGAAATTCTTTTAAAAACTTATTTTA